TTGCCTTGTTCAAATATTGGTAGCAGAGAGTCGCGCAATCGATACACTTCGGCCCTGATACTCAATGAACTGCCCAGAGGGTTCTTTGAGGATGCTTCTTTGGGTGCAAACGTACCTGCTAAAGGATGTCTGCCACTTCAATATATATATATATATATGGTTGCCGCGATTCCCGATGAGCGTTTTGCTTCACAGAATGGACTTTGATTTATGGAGGAAGGGCAGAGTTGGGATGCAACTTGCGTCCTTCATTGGCAGCTCACAGTGAGTTGGTAGAACTCGGGATCCTTATGCTGTTATTGAAGTTGAAGGGAAACCAACAATCAAGTCACAAGCACGGAAGCACTTCAACCAGGCCTTTCACAAAAGCCAAAACGTGATATGGCTGCGTTTGAACACTCTGGTGACGAGCCAAGGTTGGTGTGAAGCCTTTCACAGGGACATCCGATATCGAAATCGGTCGATATTTTTCTAGTTACAGTTACTTCCCCACTGCCACTCAGTTGGCGGACCGGATAGTGCTCGAAAAAAAAAAAAAAAGAGAAGAAAAAACAACTCCATAGAATTGGCGGGCTGGTGATTGGATCATCACAAAGAAAAGGATGGAAAATCCTGTAGATAGATGACAAATGCGCTCTTTAGTGGAATTGGGCAGTAGGCCGCTTCAGCCCCGACCACCAAACGCCAGGAGAAGTGGCTGCCTGGACCCTCAAACTACCCTACAAAAACAAGGACATCATCCCATAATTTTGGCGGTAAGCCATTGTTCGGGGTAGTTTGGGGGTCCAGGTTGCCCAGAGTTGTGTGTGGTGCCTCAACACGGCCTGGGGAAGGGACTGGACACCGCAGGTACAGAGGGTGTCCCGACGGACAGGCATGGCCGGGAGCCCCAGAGCGAGTAGCGGATAGCCCTTCAAAATATGGAAGTGGACAAGGCACCTGTTCCAGGATGATGATGATGATGATGATGATGATGATGATGATGATGATGACGACGACGACGACGACGACGATGCCGATGCCGATGCCGATGCCGATGCTGATGCTGATCGTGCTGTTGCCGCTGCTGCTGCCGGTGGTGGTGGTGGTGGTGGTGGTGGTGGTGGTGGTGGTGGTGGGGGGGCGGCGGCGGCGGCGGTGGCGGTGGCGGTTGCGGTGGCGGTGGCGTGCTGGTGGCGGGTGCTGGTATAGCTATGGCAGCTATGGTTTAGCTATGGTATACCTCCGAGTTATTCGCTGCAAGTCTTACAGTAAGATATGCAGTTTGTGCCATGCGGGCTTGGGTATTTTGCGATGCCATGGACAGATAACTGCCAAGATACGCAAAGATGCTGGCTTTCGTTCTTGCAACTTTTGCCGTGCTTTGACCCCCACCTCAATGTTGGTGTGTGTGTGTGTGTGCGTGGGTTGTCCAATCGTTTTGGTGCTTCTCAAAATGGCGGTCCGCTATATGAATATAATTAACCATAACGGTTGCTTTCCTCTTGGTTCCCCTTTACTGCGGCAAATACGGCAAACCCAGAGGGTTGTTGCCCTTTTGGGTTGCCCTTTGACCCAACCTGGACAAGTTGCCCACAAAAACCACTGACCCAGGTACAGGTCCGAGCCCACATCTTCCTACAGAGCGTCAACGTGATCCGCAACATGGACTACCTGACGCGCTGCATTAAGACCGAGGCGCTCGCGACACCCGCTCACGCACGCGCTTTTGACAAGCGCACGTTGTCAATAATGGCATGCGGTTATATACATATATACATATGTACGTCTATATCCATAGAGCAGCCCGGATGATCTACCTTGTGCGTATCATTCCTGTTTGTGCCCTGTCCCATCTGCACCGCATTATTCCTGTGTGTGCTCTGCACCATTTGCAAATGTAAAACAGTTCTATTCTATGTTAGAATGCGAGTTCCAATAAGATTGCATCGTTTGTCTATTCTACTCAATGTCTGTTTGAGTTTCATCGACATTGTTTTGGAAAGCAATTTCATGTATGAATTCGATCAACAACTTGTGATTCTGTTTTAACCCTTTCCTATTAAATTATACTCAACACATAATGACACGAGACTCATTGTTGGAAACACATTTCTTCTTAAATTAGCATTTTGAATAGGCGTTACGATTGGTTTGTTCCTCATGAAATTGTTCAATATTTGTTTAATTTTCAAATCCAATTTGTGTTTAAGGAGCTTTATTAAAGAGCTTTATAATAGGCAACATAAACAACTTTACAAGCAGCTTTAGAAGGATTTGCGCAAGCACAAAGAGCCTTGAAGCTCCTTCACAAGGATGACTACAACTAGCCCTACAAAGAGCCTCGTACGCGCCATTTTAGGAGATTTAACACGGAGCCTTAGAAGGAGCTTTACGATAGCCTTGCAAGAACCTTTGTAGGGAGCTTTAGAAGGAGCCTTGTAATGCACTTTAAAGGGATCCTTATAAGGATCCTTCTACTTGGTAAGAATGTTTTGTTCAGTCTGGTCCAGACTGAGGTCTGCGTTTGCACTAGTAAAAGTGTTCAACAAAAGATGTCAACGCACATTGAAGCAAGGCATGTGCATATATATATATATATTATTGTCACAGGAAGCAAGGCAGGTGAAGTTGCTTGTGAGTGCGGGACATTTGGTGTCTGACTGTTCGGAAGAGGGTTGTCAGTCGGCTGCGAAGTGGAATTCACACACAGGCATATGCAGACACCCCCAGCATCATCAGTCGTGGAACAAAGAAAACGCTCTCCTGCCTGCTGCTGGACACCCTCAGCATCATCAGCCTTTTGGTACAGGAGATGCTTTTGCACTTTGCAAAAGTCGAGGTTGGAGACTGGAGCAGGGAACGGGGCGAACGTTCCTGGGGCAAGAAAGCTCGCTTCGGGTGGAAACGCCAAGGAGCAAAGACGAGCCAGGCTCCGGCCGATCGGGGTTTTGACCAATACAGGCGCCCCCAGCAGTGCCTCAGCGGAAAGCTCTTCCGCACCAGCGCTGGAATGAAGGCTCTTTGGCAATCTTCGCATCCTCAGCATCAGCGCTTAAGCAAAGGGTGGCCTAAAGCTCAATTGCCGGGAGCAGCATCAAGCTTCATTCCGTGGCTAAGGGCGAAATTGCACCGTCCGAGGCCGAGATGAGCGGTGGGCTTGGACAAGCGTGATGAATTAATGTGCTTGACCGTGCCAAACGTCAGACGGTCTTCGCTGCATACAGTGACGACACTGAAGTATCACCGGTGTCTGAGTAAAGGAAATGGCTTTCCAGCGGACTGCTCCACAACCTCAGCATCACCAGCGCTGACCAAAGAAAAACTGAATCTTGCTTCAACTGGAGAAGCCAAGAAAGAAAAAAGATGAGCCAGGCTCCAGTCGATGCGGGTTCTGACCGAAGACGACAGCCGCGAACAGGGCAGGCAGATTTTGAAGGCACCCCTCGGCATCACCTGCGCGTCAAGGGAAAACCGCTTCGGCAACTCAGCATCGCCAGCGCGGGAATGAAGGCTCTTACGCTATCTACGCAGCATCCTCAGCATCACCGTCACTAAAGTCAGCGGTGTCAAAATCAACTACATTGCAAATTGCGGACTTGCACTTTCTTATCGCCGACATGAGTCGGCGTGCTTCAGCCTGCGTGCCAAAACTTGCCTCAACAGGGCGCGAGCAGGTCTTGAACTGAAGGCCGGACGAAGCCTAAACAAAGCCCTAGTTTCATTATGACAGGTGGGAAGTGACCAGAAGACTATGGGAAGACGCTGGGCAGACTGCCAGATTACACGACCAAAAACCCCTTCAAAACGAAAGCGAGTTTTTGTAATCGAAGGATTCAGACATATTCCGGTTTGGCACGTGGTTTTGGCTCGGCTCATGTGCTTGGAAAGTACCAACTTCGAAGGGAAATCGGAGTCCCGCTATTTTTGGTGTATACCCATATGTTATTTCTTCACAATCTGAACTCCATGCTATCAATGGAACATCATTTGCGCAATCTGAATCCTCGCACTTTTTGGGAAGAACATGTGAGTGGCAATCAGCAAGGTCCGGACTACTTCTGACAAATCCGCTCAGGATGTGAGTTTAGACACTTTGGAATCTAGCAGTCTTGGAGCCTATTGGCTCGATTCCAGTTATCCAGTGTGTCATTCTCGTTGCCGCTGGCAGGTGCAAAGGCTCTCTGGCGACAAGAAGGCGTGTGAGCGCTTTTGCTGTCTCGTTTGATCCTGGGAACAGCACCAGTTCACCTGCCTGTGGGGTCTTTGGCAAAGGGACATGTGTTTGTGTGTGTGTGGGTGCTAGATTGCACATCCAGCTGAAAAACCCTAAAGTGTTTTGTTGGTTTCCGGGCCCATGTTTTGGTTTGGGTCGGCCGGCCGACATCTTGGCAAAGTTATTTCAAGTAGCCGCTGATACGGCTGCATGGTGACTGCTCATAGGTCACAGTACTCTGCTTGATCTTAGGACACATGGCTATCAAATGCAAATGGGAACCACCTCCAAAGTCGCGAACATTGACACCCATCGCGCCCGATTTGGGCACCCAAAGTCCTCAAGTCAGCACACAAAGGGGTCAAGACTGGGCCGCTGTGTCGCCCCTGCCCGTTTAGGCTGTGACTTTGTTTTGGGGGATCCGCTTTGGATGGTTTGAAACGGAAACCCAAAGTTGGTTCCCTTTTCAAACTCTCGGGGTCCAGTTCCCAGGCCGAAACGGTGCGTATTGGGACCTGGGTCCTTGAGCATTGGGGACGACACCAATCAATCAACCAGGGCACCCATTCTGGATGTTTTATCCAACTGCCAAATCGGGGCTTCCAACTTGTTTCCCTGCTTGCTTTTTTATTTACATGTGGAATATGGTGGAGGAGGACGGAAGTGGACGTTGCAACCAGCGTTGCTTTCGAGGGCTGGGATAACCTCAAAGGAAACCGACCCCAAGGACATCCCAAAATGGCGTGCTTGCCCTTTGATTTGTTCCAACATCCAAGGGCTGAAACTCTGGCTGAACCCCTGAAAGTTTCTTGGCACCTGGCCCCAAGTTCCACGCCCCACGACGCCTCACGGCCTGGCACCGGGCACCGGGCGCGTGGCGCGTGGCGCTCGCCAGGCGCGCAAGGCCCAGCTGCCCAAGCGCCTGGTGGCCAACGGCCTGCAGCTCCTGCCCGGACGCCGAAAGGAGCGGGTGGAGCAAAACCTGGCCGCTCCTCAGGTCGCTGCTAGAGAAATGAAGTTCATAAGAAAGAACCCCATTTGTCATACCTTCATCTAAGAAGGAGGAAATATCAACTTGGAGTTGGGACAAGGTGGAGTTCTACATTTGAATTTGTTTTAATGACCTTTTGATCCCAACCAACAAAAGAGGACTCCTGAGGGCGTCACTATTTTCAACCAAAAGGGGGTGCAAAGGCAAGCCCTGGCGAGAGTTCCTGAAACCAAGATGTGCTTGAAGACATTTTATGCATGAGCAGAACCCGAACCTATGAGCATGCTCCGATGCATATCCGCGCGGGTAAGAGCGCATTTCATTGCAGGCTGCCCTGTTGTCAGGCCCTCCGCTGTCTAGAAGAGGTCAACCAAGGCTGCAGCAAATGATGCGTGTTTGGATGAGCATAGATGTTCATTTCCCCTTGGCTGATCAACATGTGGCATGCAACTCATGTGACGTGTGAGGGCAGGAACCCGCCTCTTTGGCAGTCACTTCTTGCGCTGAGGCTGGTGCTTCTTCCGCACAGCTCGCCCCAGTGGCAACAGGAAGCGCTCGGAGGACGAAAGTGAAACAAATGCGTGTGCAAGGTCGGTTGCTTCCAAGCCGAGCCGAGGTTTCTTGGGTAACATGAAGCTAGTTTCCGTGGAATACAGGGCTTCTTAACCATCTCAGCTGCCTAGCAGCCTCCGTTGGGCGGTTTGCTTCAAAGTCTAGTCAGTTCGCCAGAAAAGGTGGTTCTTCCTGTTCCGATGCCCTGCTGAAAGACATGTGTCATGTTGGCAAGCGGCGGTTCCTTGTCATGTTCCCTGTCATTTTGGTTGAATCTGGGCGCTGAGTCCCAGTTCCCTGCAAAAACATATGGCACCCATCAGTGGATTGTTGTTTCGATTTTTGATTTGTGTGTGTCATCCTTGCGCAGGGGCCATGCTAACCTTCTCTGTATCGTTCCAATTTTTATCGGATGATCGCCGAAGCGAATCCAAAAAACACTTGTTTGCGTGTTGGCGGCCGCTTGGCCTATCTTTGATAGCCTTGTTTTTTGTGTCCACGCGTTTGTTTCGTTGTGTGTTGTTGTGTTTCGTTGTGTGCGTGCGTCGGTTTTGTGTGGTTTGCCCACCCAAGTGGATCTCAGTCCTCATTACTATATAGTAGGCAACCGGCCATTTTGCCTTGGTTTTTGAAGGTTGGTTCCGTTAGTACCCTCCGAACCAATAAACGTGTAGGTGCATAGGACATCATTGGACCCATTTCCATGAGAAAAATAGTTTCTGGTTTTAAACATAGGGGCGTATGCACTTCCATGTTGCCGGGAGGGTACTGTAGCTACTATACAAGCAAATGGAGTCACTGGAGTTTGTATTGGAGTAGCCTTTTATTGGATAATTTCAATCAGCCCGGGGTCCAGGTGCCTCCTAACAAGGTACAAAGGGTGCCCTCCAAGAGCCAAATGAGTGTGTGTGTGTGTGTCGTTTTTGCAGGGTACCTGTTTTTCAGGTTGCTTTCAAAGACAACAAGAGAATCACACTTTTTGGAACCCCCCCCCTCCCCCCCATTTTCATTGCCCTGAAAAACCACCTCTCAGGAGAGAGCTGCACGGAGCTGGCTTCCATGCTCTTCGCGCGGCGAGGTCGAAGATTTTGTTGAGGATGACACTGGAGTCTCCTTCCCCCCAAACAATGTTTTACTCTTCAAGGTGGTGCTCCGGACAAATCCGGAGGACCCCGCTAGTCAGGGAAAGCCACCTAAATAGATTTCCGCACGAAACTGCAACCCCCTGATTACGGTCCTCCGGACCAATCCGAAGTTAGCAATAGAAAAAGTATGAAGCAGAAACCCCAGATGACCCTGCTTGTTGACCTTCCAATAGTTGTTGGGTTCAACCTGGTTCAAACAAACCCAGGGTTTTTGATGCACCGCGGAATTATGGCATTGTGGGTCCTGGGATAGATTCCTTTCTGCACCCATTTGGGTCGTGTCCCTGGGGTTGTCCCAGGACGAGCTAACATGAAAACGAGGTTGGCAGGCATTGACCTTGACCATGGCACACCGCTGCTTTCTGCTGTTGAGGGCACTGCTCACTGGGTTTGGGCGCGTCAACGTGGAACATGGGCAAAACGACCAGAAGGGACTTCTCACATTGTGGAGCATTTAGCTTGTTCAGTGACATCCTCTAGAAGCTACTTGGCTGGTGGGTTCAGAATCCCTAAAAAAGTCTGCAGCCCCCAAAGAGAGTTTGTGGCCCCCAATTTTTCCTTTAAAGTTGATGATGGCTCATGATTTTAGAGCAATAGCCTAAAACCCAACAGGCTCGCCAAGTAGCAAGAATGAAATAGGGTCGTTTCATGCTGAAGAAAGATTATTGCTCCAAACGTCTTGGAGTTCTTCATTGAAAAGTGAAGTGAAGTTGCGCCATGGATGCAGTATCACTCAACCCCGTGTCTTCTTGTAGCCACACACGCCGTGTTTGGTTTGAGGGTTCAGGTTTCCATTCCGTTTTCACCCTTTCGCGGGCTCCTGTCCGAGCGCTGGCAAAAAGGAAACGCGTGGACAGGCGCGAACGGGGCCCAGCTGCTGAGCGCGGGCTACGAGGATGCCCGGAAGCGGCTTTGGCTGCTGCTCGGCGGTGGCTTTCGCGGCACGTTTTTCATATCGGGGATGGACGAAATCCGCAAATATCGCACCAATTGGAAGCCATGGTTGAAACCATTGGTCATTGGTATTCACAGGGGAATCATCATGGATTTCTTAGGTGGTGCAGGAATTCGTCCATCCATAGTATGGAGGGGGTTCAACATCGTGGACCCCCCTTGAACTATGTTAAAGGGAACGCAAAAGGAAACAAACCATTTTTATGGGCACCCTATGTTGACTCACAACACCCTTTGACTTGGACATAATTACTGGGGATGGTCATGGCCACAATTGAAGAGAAGTTGGACAACCATGCTAAGGATTGCTGTTTATAACCACAAGGAGTCTTGACCATGAACCATAGCTTCTGTCTTATCACCCAACAGTGTTGTTGTTTATTTTTCCAGTGGCTCTTTCAAACAACCCGCAGGCCAGCGGCAAACCTTCCGTCGCCTCGGTTCGGAAGCGAGGCTCTTTCGGATGGTGCACCTCAGCTCGGCCATCCCCGGGGAAGCCGGGGCCTCGAAATGGTTTGCGGTTAGCCGGGGGAGATGCCGAGTGCAGCACCGTAAAAGTCCCACAGGAAGCTTCAGGCTTAATGGTTTGCAGAAGTGACGTGAAACGAACCAAGCCGGCTTCCACACAATCACGTGGTAGGTTCTTTCTGTTTTTGTTGCACCTTTGCGAGAACCAGATCAATGACTAGGAATTTTGTGACTTGTGCCCTGAGCAGGGTTTTGAAGTCCAGCCTGCGCACTGAGTCAAGTCCTGAGTCAAGTCCAGACAAAGGCGCAGCAGACGTACTCTTCACGATGGTCAGCAGGTGTAACAGCTTAAAGGCACCTGCATGCATTTGGGGAACTAGCACAATCCGTGTCACACACATGATCCCCACCCTCCCTTTTCTTACCACCTCCGCCAAGTATCCACCCACTCCTCCTTTTGATTTTGACCCTAAAGGCCTCTGAGGATTTCGTTTTGAGAAAAGCGGAAGTCATGGTCGGTCTTGTTTTCCGTTTTCTAGAAGGATGGTGGGTGCCCCTGCCATTTTGCAACACCAAGCGTACTCATCCACGAGGCCTGGTGTCCATCCAATTCTGGAGGCATCCACCGAATTATCTCTTAACTCCTGGAAGCGAAAATACGCCCATTCTGGGCTTGAATCGCGCCCCGTAAATCGAGATCAACCATTGTTTTTGCGTCTTATTTGTTTCGTGTTATTTTTTGTTTGCTTGCGGCGGTATGTTTGAGGTGAGAGTTTTAGTACCGGCGGCAATGGGACCACCGCAGCTTATCGATGATTTATCTTGCAGACAACTGCAAGACAGTTGGGGCTGTTGTTGGGTTTGATCAGAAACTTAAAGCTTTTAAGCAAATTTGAGTGTGTGCTCCCCCACTGACCAAAACAAAGTGAAACTTTTTGCCACATGAGAAGTGGGACAGTTTCCGCTTTTCTAGACATGGCTTTGACACCTAGGACCTATTCCGTGAATCTGCAAACTATAGCGAGCTTACCGATCCAGGGTGGAACGATCTTGGGTCCGCGATGTTTAAGGCCCCCATTGGATTCACGGAATCTTGTTGGTAGTTATTCTGTTGATTCGGACCGAGACAGTGCCATAATTGGACCCTGTCCATTTGGGGAAATTGCTGATGTGTGTCTCCATTGTAACCGGACTTTGGTGACTTTTGGTGTCCCTTTCTCATCCCAACAGACAATCAGTAATCAGCGTGTTCTTCCCTAACGCTCACCCCTCCAATGCAGAACCCTCCAATGGACAACCCCGAGCCCCTTAAAAACGTGCCATTTTGGAGGACCCCAGACCCTAGAGAACAACCCGACTCTGGCCCCATTTAACGGGAAGTATAAAAGGTGCGTTTGTGTGAGGCTCGGTACCCTTTAAGTTTTGGTTTACAGGGCAGCCACAGTTCAAAGCAGAACCACCATTTGTAGGGGTCCCCTATTTTGAACTCCATGTTTTCCTGACGCCAAGGGCTACAACCGGATGTATGTAACCATATACCAGCCTTGGTACTTACAAGAAACTCCAAAACTAGTTCCCTCGACAAGAAAGACGCCCCCATATCGGATATGTGTTTTTAAACTGAAATAAGAGGCACCCCACATGAATTCTGCAGAGTTGGCTAGGTGCAGGGCAAGCTTAGCGCGCTCATGGACGGCTACCTGCGACCTGTGCTGGCCCGGGTCCCGGCCGATAGGAACCCGTCTGGCTGCATTTGTTGGGTGTGTGTGTGTCTCTTTTTTTCGGGGACCCCACGAATGGTGGCTTTCCTGTTGGTTTCCCTTTCAAGCCAGCAAGAAGGGGGATCCTCAAAAGATGACACACCCTGTTGTTCTTGAAGCGTGGCTCGATCTCACTTCAGCAAAGAGAAGCACTCGAACTTTGGGACGGCAGAAATCGAGCTTGGATCAGGGAGCTCCTGTTTAAGAGGTTGTCCCTTGGAAATCAACCACCCAACAAAAGCAAAAGGGTACCACTTGTTCCACTGGAGGTCTTTGTGGATGGTGTGTAGAGGAAAGCCTGGGTTGCCAAATGGCAACTGTTCCCCAAAAGGAGAACAACAGGCGACTGGTCAAATTCTTATCTTCCAGACTCGCCAAGTCCGCCAAGCCTTTGAAGGGGGCCATTTTAGTCGGTGGTTATACTACCCGGTCTTATGGTGGTTATAGTAAGGCCTTTTCAACTGTTTGTGATAATGTTAGTAGAGCCAAGCGTCCATGGGTGTTGGGCGCTGCTCAAGTTGTTTCCTTTGAAAGATGAGTGAAGTGATTGCAGGTGCAACGGACGATCCACTGAAGAATATATTAAATATACCCAGGTTGCAACATTGCAGGTGCAACGGACGATCCACTGAAGAATATATTAAATATACCCAGGTTGCAACACAATGTTGATATCATTAAATTGGCAGCCACGAGCTCTGACATGTTGTTTACGCAATTGGTGTTATTGCCATTGTTATTCTGAGGCAGCAAAAGCAGGAATCTTTAGAAAGGTCCGGTTGCTGCCATTTTGGGGAAAATGTTGGCCTCATCTTTGTACTTGAGAGGATATTGATTCTCACTTGCTGTGTATGACAAGTCTACATGTTTTGATTATGTTCATGCTCCTCTAGTCTGATCCCCACGCGTGTTCACTTCCGAAACATACCTTTGGGCAGAAGTTTCGAGACCACTGCCGAGACTTTGCCTTCATCATATGGGGACAACTTGTGGCGCTGGGCAAGAAGCGGGTGATATCCAAGCATGATCAGAAAACGGGGGAGGGGGGTGGGGGGAACACCGAGACCTTCTCATTGGAGCGCTCATTTGTTCAATGCAAACAGCCAAACACCGGCGAACACAGAGTTAAAACTTTTGAAGCTTCCGCTTCCGCCTTGGAAATTGAAACTCTTGTAATTGTTCCCCATTGTTTATTGCTGTCATCATCACGTATCAGGATTGGCCTTCCAGAGCAAGCCTGCACGTTCAGGGCATGCTACCTTTGGGCTACTTCCAGCATGGAGCTGGTCAGCGATTCTGCTTGGGTAGCATTGAACCCTATTACGACCCCACTCAGCACAGTGGCTAACTGGGCCATTGACAAATGACAACTGATCGATCACTAGTAGCCATGGGAGTTCCATGCCACGGAATACCTGTTGGCAGCTTGAGGCAAAGAGACGGACCTCATGTTCGTTGAAAGTGTGGTGGAAAGGGTGCCCTCTCACACACACAAACATGAGACTGGAAAACAATTTTGAGGATGTCCAAACAGGGCCCATTCGGTGGCTTCCCTGTTCCCCTGACTCCCAAGACCCACTTTATTAGGTGTTACGTGGGAAAGCCAGGTTGTTCAAACACCACTCTGAAAGCAGTGATGTTTTTTGAGTGGGGGTGTTGCCGGTTTCCCTTTCAACCCGCTTGAACAGGCGAGAACTACCGAGCCTCAACAAACAACTCACCCGTATTGCCTTCAGGTGGAGCGACGGCTGCCTACGGGCTACCAGCTACACGGCTCGGACTCGCAGGCCGTTGAGCTGACTGTCGCAACTGGGTTGCCTGCATTGGGCTGGTTTTTTCAGGGTCCACATGTTGATTCAAGGGAAGCCCAAGGTCCTCCTATTTAATATTTGACATGCACCCTCGTGCCGCTAGCCGGTGGTTTGGAGTGGTGGGTTGGGGATTTGAACAACCAATCGAGCCAAGGAGCTGGGGGTATCCAAATGTGCCTTTGCAGAGAGAAGCTGGAGTTCTGTAAGGATGTGGAAGGTAGGGGAAGCTGTTTTATGACGATTCAATTGGTTGTGCCCTCACGCAGGCTTCTACTCTTGTGGACTGGTCCCAATGGTATGCCCTTGAAGGCCTACCCGAAACAAACTATGCGAAGAGGATGCCCTGTTGTCCGAAATCCAGGTCCCGGGACCCAAACTACCCATAAAAGTGGGTCATTGCCCCAAAATTATGGGATGGCGTCCTTTGCGTAGCGTAGTTTGAGGGTCCATGTTCTTTTATTTCCTTTTTTTGGAATGATGAACTAGAACAGTCTCAAGAACGTATTGAACTTCTTGCCCCTAAATGCTGGGATATACAATCCCCCCAATCATTTTACTGGTAAACCGGGAAACCACAAGTCTCCACTTTTTGAAACGATCCACTCAGGAAGTGAGGCGTGATAAGCACGAAGACACCGGTATAAGGCTGTGTATGCTGTAGTCAGGTACCCCTGAGTTGGTTGTTTGGAGTGGTTTGGGGATTTGAACCCCTGGTTCTTGAGGGTAAATGGGACGCCTCACCACCAATCCAAGCTAGCCACCAATTAGGGGGAAGCTGAGTGTTTCTTGCAGTGGTTTCTCGAAATACCATGGTCGTGGTTTCCCTCACAGGTATGATGATTGCTTGAAACCCACACTTTAGGGCACCCTGGGCGGGTTCTGAGAACCGGGTTCTGAGCAAGCGCCAGGCCATGCTAGAAGATGGGCAGAAGCGAGGCGCAGAGCCATGTACAAGCAGATGGCGCAATTCTAGATGGTTTAGTCGTTCCCTCTACGCCTTCAGTGTCAAGCCAGGGTCTCCCAATGTCCAATTTTGGCCCAAAAGTGGAGCCCTCCGTCAGGTGTCCCTTGGACCCATTTTGGCTTACTTCGGCTAACTTGTCAAGTAGGCTAACCCATATTGACTGCATTCGGTACATACTTGTCTGCAGGTTAGTTCCTTTCTTTGTTTGTCTCAAAAAGCTATCTGGTAACTGCGTAGTTCCGATGGCGCGGCTGTTTCATTCGCACACAACAGCAAGCTGATTGACTTTTGAATCAGAATCCGGCGGCTGCAAAACGAGCCCAGGAAGGTGTCTTGGAGCTATGGATGCCCCTGCCATCTTGCACGTGAAGCAACCATGTGAGCGTCCGTCAAAACCTGTGGAAGACCAATACGTAAAGGGCTGGACATGACATACCAACATGTGCGGTAGGATGCGTCAAAAGCATGCGAAACGATAGGGTTACAAAAAAAACACGATACCTGTCTTGTGTACGGGGCCACCCACAAGTGCATTTGCCGGTCTTTGTGAGCCGTTTTTCCACAAAAAGTCATGTCATGGACCGTGAGCACCCGCTACTGGCTCTCCGGCTTGCATGCCGGGGACACGTACAGCGCCTGAGCTGAAAGACTTGGCAAAAATGTCCCACATTCTCTGCCGGTTCTGAGAAAGTTGCAAATTGCGCCACCAGAGAAGACTTTGTCCGTGCTCTCAGGCTGGAAGGAGTTGATCTCACTTCCCATTTCGCATTGCGCTTCTGGAGTCGTGCCACAGGAAGCAGTTCGGATCTTCAACCATGTGTCAGCTCCATGCCAGTTTCGGCGGAGATTGACGACTTTGTCGTGGAAGATTGTCAGCTTCCTTCCGATTGGCGGCGCGGATTTTGGGGTAATTACTGGCAAAGGCAATTGGGACACACATCCTCTACCGTCGGGCCGCCACGAACATACTGGGCTTTCCTGGAAGCAGGAGTGCCAGCAAGACCTATTGCGTCAAGGGAGATCTCGATTACATGGGCAGGCCCGGAACTTTGAGCAGGAAGTGGCCAAGAGAGAAGCCCGGGTAAGCCGTCGGCGTGATAGTGAGCCCCGCCGTGAGCATGTCGTCCGCATGCTTCAAGAATCCTCTTCTACTTCCAGCTCGTCCACCGATTCGAGCTCGTCATCCTAGCAAAGAAATACGCTGAGCGGCTTCGAATACGCCTGCGTTTTTGTGGTTTGAGATGCAAGAATGGGAAGAACTGTGACCGCTACTCGATGTCCTCTGGCTACACACGAGGTTTCACAAGTTGCTCATATAGTGTCTGCATATATATATATATATATATGTGATTCCCCTGGAATTCTCAGGTTTTGACAAGAAATCGACATCTTGGCTGCAACATTGCATTCAAATGTCTGACCTAGCCTGAAACGACACCAAGAAACAAAATCACGCGTCAGGCGACAGAAATCGGGAAGTCATCTCGCCAGCAGCTTAGCGCCTTCCATCAAACAAGGCGCCAACAACGCACTTTCCAGATCTAAGAACGATGCTCTAAAACCGCACCCCTTTTTTGGACTTAAATTCCGGCATCTGTACTTGGTGCAATCCAGGATGCGCTAGCGCAATCCACCTGGTTTGTCCTAAGGATGGCCAGAACAAGTGGTCTGCGCTAGAACGTGCTAGTACATCCTGCAATGCCTTCAGTACATATTTGAGAATTCCAGATAGAGTTCAGAGAATCGTCAATCTTCAACTCAGGATGTGCTAGCACGTGCTAGCACATCCTGGGTTTCCCTACGTATGGATTCGAGAATCCAAGCGGCAGACAGGGAGTGCACGTGGTCAGAATCAAGTTGTGGATGTGCACTTGCACCGCCTGCGTTTCGCCAGGGGCAAACATGTTGTCACACAACTTCACAGCTTTCTTTGGTGGAATTGGGGGCTGGCCAGGATGGAAGATTTTCTAATACAAAAGCCGGTAGACCTTGAATCTTCAACACAGGCCGGAAAACCTTAATGATCCTAGAACAACCCGTCAAGCTTCTGGGGGGGCCAGGATTGAGGATGTTCAAAAAAAAGTTTCTGGAATCTTTAATATTCGACCCTGGGCAACACGATGTCACCAAACTATGAAAACAGAGCGTTTTATAGCATTTCATGCCAAGATCACGATCCATTTTTGGAAGCACTTTTCTGCCATTGGCTTTGCTCAGCTCTTGCTTGGTTAAAACCACATGGCGTTTCATAAGGACAATAGCCCTGTTGAAATATAATTTGATTGCAAATCTGCCTGGCCATGACAATAGCTATGTTCTCCGACTGTGTTTTTGAAACGCGCAAGAAGCTGCAAACGTTTGAAATTAATCTTGGTTTGAACTCGCACGCGTTGTAAATTCGATATCCTTCCAATATTTGAACTTCAATGGTGGTTATTGGCAATGATTTAATCAAACCAGACAAGCAACACACAACTGAGGTAGTTGTTTTTGCAAAACATGATTTGAATTAACTTAATAAGGCTGTGTATGGGGTTATGCAAAAATGAACTAACATGTAAATGCAACTGCGCAATGACATGAAGCACTTGTATTTTTACTGGGATGTCAGTTACAAGTAGGAAAGAGGTCTTTTCCCCCAATTTGATGATTTGCTGACATTCCCTGCCAAACAAACATAAAGAAAACCAAATAAAAGAGCTGCTAAAACAGGCACAGTGAAGATGCCAAAGCACGCTTTGAGCACTCCCCTTGTGCTGAAAAGTTGTGCTTTTTGAGCTGGAGCTGCCAAAGTGCACATGTGGCTTTACGTGGACTTTCTTCGTTCAAAAAGGATCTGCCATCCAACGTTGAGATTAACTTCTGCGCAGTCTGGCCAACCTCAGTTCTAGCCCATGACCTGAGCATTTCAAGGGGGGGTATGTATATATATATATACACCAAAAACTTGCCTTGTAGGTCTGAAAGGGAAGCCAAACGGAAAACACCATTTTGAGGGGTTCCCCCATTTTGAGACAACCCCATGCATATTATGTTTTTGTGCATGGGACTGTTTCACATATACAAATCTCGACCAAACAGCCAATGTAAAGGCCAACGTTTCTGAATGCTCCCTTACTTGCAATATTCAGTTGGCATCCAGCCTACCTGAACTGTTATTGGTGAATCAAGGGCTGAGTGTCTGCTTTCTTTGACCGAGGTACATGTAGTGGTTGAGATGTGTGTGCGTGTGCGCGTGTGTGTTTTGAGGCTCGGTAGCTTTTCAAGCGTAGGGAAAAAAGGAGACTCAAAGGAACACTGAATCCAAAGTCTTTTTTGCGGACTCCCTGTTTTGAACCCTTCCATGTCCTTTTTGGGTCTTGCGGTCGAGATTGCTGGAACACACGGACCCTCATGGCTTTTGGAGCATGACCATGTCCCTTCTGGCTCGACTTGATATGAGTGATGTTGGCGAACGACAACTAAAACACGCGACATCATTTTGTGGATGTGGTATCAGGTTGGATCCATAAACGAGGGATCCATCAGCGGCCGCACCTGCGCCACCCAAGGCCCAAAGGCAGGCAACATGCCCCGGGGCATGTTTCATGACGATCCGGTTATGGACCTGTGTCATATCGGATGTGGACTGACCCTGCGGGAGCAAAAACCTGATGAGTCTAGAGATCTGGGCTATTACATTGGCGAGCCCCTCCCAAATCGCATGCATTGGCCAATGACTTTGCCTGGCAGATGCATTGGGGGTTGGCCACAAAGATGTTTCGGATCGTACGATGTCAGAAACAAGCATGCAACACAAGGATCCAAGTACCCTTTGCATTTGGTGTTAGGGTGTAAACCTTCTCAGAAGGTACGTTCCCCGCTAGTGGCAGGAATGACCATGTGTTCTTGAGTTGCCGTTGTTTTCTTCGGGAAGACTCCTCTCCCATTCACCGCTTTGGGGTCCTGGGAACTTCCGTGGAATCACCTGAAGGGCAAGCAAAGCGAATGTTTCCGCACGAGTTGTATATGGCTTACTGGTCCTTCGAGATTCATTCTTGTTGTTCTTCGGTGGACAGAACATATTCCGCATTGGCATGCTACAAGCCCTACGATGTTTTAGATGTTGCACTTCGTGCGGGGCCAGGCCAGTTTTGCCCGGCACATAAGCAGCTGACACATGTTTGGTCTATGATTCAGTTCCGCGAGGACAAGAACCTGGACTGGGTAGGCCAAACTCATGAAAAACCAGGGTCCTGTCGGGAACCCATAGATTCTTCAGAATTTCAATGTGCAGTTTGACCAATCCGCAACCCGATGTCGCCCAATCTGTTCTGCAGGAATCGAGGACGACGAGGAGGCGCGCGAGCAAATGTCGGACAATGTGAGTTGTTGTGAGACAACCGCCAGAAGAAACGTGCTGAGGCCACCCCGTCTCTTACCGAAGCTCGAGTTTGCCTTAGGACGTTCCCAGGCATATGTACTGATTGATCAAGCGGGGCTTCTTGAATTTAAAGATGAAGATTCTGTGCAGGCTCTGGCAGCTCGGAGGACATGAGCATGCGCTTGACCAGTGATCCATCACAATGACGGAAATATGCGTGAGATCATAGTCGTTGGAGGACCAACTCCTCCGTTGGCACAAATACAATCATGGTTGTCACGTAAGCGGGTCGGCTCTAGCCCTCACGGTGGACCTACTTAGTGGGGTTCAGCCTGTTTGAGAAGGTGGCTGGGATAGACATTTGCGGAATTGTCTTGTTTTTTGGGGGATAGACAATCGTCAACCTGGTGAAGCCACAAGTCTTCAAGGAATTGCACAAACCCCTCCCGCCGCAGGTTTTGTTGTCGAAAACCTGGCTTCTATTCTTTATAGTTTAGTGTTCAATATCCCGCAAACGAATCGCGGAGGCGAGTCTGATTTTTCGCACCGCCAGCTTTCCACCCTGTTGCGTTTGGGGCGCTCTCATCGCAGAATTGCATGGTCATTGGTTCACTGGCCATTGTAATTTCTCGGACTTGGACCAGTTTGCCCATGGCACTTGGGTTGTTTGATCAACAGAATTAATCAGACCACTGTGATGTACCTTCGGATCACACGCACACGGTTTTTTGCCACGTGCACATGACTCCATTGGGAAACAGATGCAGAAACTTAAGCGATCCTTGGGCTCCTTGGGCCCTGCAATCTGTGGGGTTTCCCATGGGCTGAATGCATGGCTATGACTTGATTCGGCTTTTTCCCCCACAACCCCATTCCAATTTGGTAGTCTTTTCGGCAGTTTTTGGATGGATGTTTGGGGTGAACCTCAGTTTCCTTGGAAGCCAACTGGGGAAGGCACTCCCAAAGGTCCAAACCACCAATTAGGGGTAAGGTGATACAGGATGTTCCATGTTTCATTTTTGCTCGTTCCCATTGCCCACTCAGAAACAACACTGGCCGTTGCGAAATCGAGGACACTGTGAGAAGCTAACCCGTTCTCCAAAACTGACCTCCAGAGGTTCCGTGAACCCATTTGTTCGGCTAGCCTGGCCCAAGCGCTTGCTTGATTTTCGGCCCGCTAAAGTGTTTGCCCATGGGTGCCTTGACAGGCAGCACTCTCTTCCAAGACAGCCCCTCGCTGGAATGTTATGTATCCTCATTCGTTTGGTGCATTTTCCCTAGGAGCACCTGGGTGTGGCTCAAAACTAAGGACCCAGGGGCAGCTTTTGCTGTTTCCTACCATCTGGGGGTCAGCCACAAAGTGCCAGGAGCCGCGGACAGGGCGCAAGCCAGGTGCGGGATGGGCAGTGGGAGGGCCATCCATCAGTTTGCGGTCCAAGTCCTATAGAATGAATGGGACACCCAATTGGGAGACTTCTATATTCTTGGGATCCCTAGTTTCGGCAATTGTGAATAGGAATTCAACACAACCGTTTCGGGGCTTCATTGTGGAGGAAACGCGAATGTTGGCAAAGGTCTTTGGATTCACTGATGAGCTGAGCAACGGTCCATCTTAAGCCTCTGGCAGGCTGATTAGACCCGCATCTGGCTGCCTCAATGCAAGAAGCTCTTGTTCAAAAAGCGAACTTTTTGTGGGAAACGAGCAGTTTTTGGATCATTGAGTGAAAATGGTTGGCCCGAGCATGTTGTTTTCGTGACATAAATTCATGTAGGAAAAAGGGCCATGGTCATGGCACAATTTTCTAGGTGTCGGGCAGAAAACCAGAGAGCCAGAAGCCCATGTTCCTCCAAACTAAAACGAACACCAAGCAGCTGGAAGCCAACAGATGAAAACAAAAAACAACGCCCTGGGTTTCCCTTCCAGGGCCCTTCCTGCATAACGGGCCCCTTTCAGGCAGCATTTTTGCCACCTCCTAAGGACTGTATTCCTATGTGCAAAACCCGCGCTGTCCACAAAGTAGTTGGGGGTGTTGATGGGGTTCTTCAAACTCAATGCCGAATTCTTTTGCCGGAGTGGATTCCCTTGTGGCCTTGTGGTGTCCCGCTTGGCATGACAGATTTAGAAAAAGAAATTGAGTTGGTAAACGATTATTCCTCAGAACCCACAGAACTGTTCGTTTTCGCAGGGACTTACGAACCGGACCTAGTCCCATCAGGTTTGCTATGGCGACTGTCTCCGATGGATCAACACGCTCAGGTTGACTGAAAGGAGGCCACGCGCTCAGCGGTTGATTCAGCCAAAGAGTCCTTCAGGGGAATATTTGGCCCGGAAGCTTCAGCTTGGTGGAGTATGAGGAAAACATCTCCACCATGTTCATTGATGTATGATCCATGCTGACCCCGGTTTGCGCCCCTTCCATGTTTCTTTGCTTGCTGCTCTGCAGGAAGTTGGTTGCCTTCAGCGGCTGGGTTGCCATTTCCATGCGAAGGGGAACATCTCGACATGAGCTTTGGATTCTCTTTGGCTTCCCATTTTTTCCATTGTGGCATTCTGGCGATCTAAGCGCTGCGCCATGCTGTGGTCAATTCGCCTCAGACCATTGGAGGCAGACGTCGGATGGGTCGTGGTGGAAGCCAAAGGATGCTTGGATTTCTCACGGAATTCGGTCCGTTTCCCATTTGGGTATTGGAGGATACCCTTTTGGCCTAGCTGGAAAGGAAAAAAAAAAACAAAAACGACCGGAACAGATAGTTCACTACCTTGATTGTTCCCCTATACTGAGACACACCCATCTTATTTATTGTGCAAACGTTGGCACCCGTGTTCTGTGAAACATGCAGATTATCTTGTTAGAATCGACGCTGTGGATGAAAAACGTCACGCACCAGGGGAGATGGATGCAATCACTTGAATACTTTGGTATGCCATCTACCAACTGGTGTAGGATGTTGTGCATCCACAGCAATTTCAATCCAGCAGATCATCATTGCAGTTTGCAGACACTGCGCTGGAGCTGTGGAACAAGTATGGCTCAACAGGAATCGGTCTCTGCAAATAGTAACCCATGCATTCTCTCTGACACAGACCAAACGCGGTGGATGTGTACTTTTTGTGGGTGGTTTGGGACATCCGTGTGGGTTTGCGTTAAGCCTACGGACTCCTCGACTGCTAGGGACCCTTTCTGAAGCCATGCCCAAACGACAATTGAGCAGCGTGCAAAACCCCGAGGAAAGAAGTTCGTAAAGGTGTTGTGGCGAAAGGAAAACATGGGGCATGGCATCACAGGGCCGCGAAAGCGAGAGATCATGTTCGCGAACGGGGCCGTGAAAGGCCGATTTTGAACACCGAGTCGCTTGATGAACCGTCCGCAAAAGCTCCGCGAAAGGGATTCCTGGCTCCGCGAAAGGAAAACTGCGGAGTGCGCAAGATCCGCGAAAGGCCGCGAAAGGGTTCACGAAGGCAGACGTCGAATCAACAACACAACCGCAACGAAACTCAACGCAACGCAACACAACACGCACGCACACACGCCACACCAAAACACGCACGCACATACCCACATTCCCACATAGCCGCGTACAGACCTCCCTTTTGAATTGCCTGGTGGGTCATGGCAAGCTTGAGCTGAGGCAACCGGATGTTTCTGTTGGCGAAGTGATAGGCCTGAGCCAGCAGATATAGTGACAATGTCGGCAGAAGTTTGTCCTAGTGATCTCTTGCATTCCTTTTGATCCACGTTGAGCCAGCTTTGTATCCTGTCCTTTCTGTGGATTTTCTTCTTTTTGAGCCATGTTCCAATGGAAGAGTCCAGTGGTTTCCCTGTGGCTCTCCCATGGATTTTTTCAACGCGTCATTGGTGCAAGGCGATTGGCCCGGCCATGCCCGGAAGCGCTTGCGTTGGCTTGGTCCGCATTGAACGAAGCGGCGCATGGGCTCGTTGAAGGAGCCAAAGCCATGATTCATGCCCCTCGTCTTTTGGGGGATCTCATTGGCTTCGACTTTTGCATTGGTGATGGGAGTGACCGTGCTCCAAAGTGAGACCAGCCTGATAAGAACAGCCTGCAACATGGCAGGGGATTGTTTGAGTCTGCACCGTACCAACGGTTTCTTTGCTGCACGCCCACACCGCCTGAGAAGGGAATTGATAGCGGGCAATCAAAGGAAGCTGCCCAGGAGCCCTTGCGTCAAGCCAACTGCGTCACGTTTCTAAGTTTGCCGACATTGGACTAGGCTCGTCTTAGTGATGCTCGAAGGGCCAATTGGGAATATCAGCCTTGCGTATTCCAAAGTCACTGCTCCCCCGCAAGCTAACACAGAACATCAAGAGATTCCTCCAAACATGGCGGTCTGTTGCGTTCCATGTTTATAAATCACACCAAATCGAAGATGGCAATTGCCAAAAAGGAAGCCGAACTTTCGACAGATGGGGATCTCTAGCGTCCTTCGGTTGCTCACCTCGTAGCTCCTGGTTTGAGCAAGTTTGCGAAGCAACGCGCAACCACATGGGTCGTCGAACGAACTAGGAGTTCGGAACCCAACATTTCCAGATTTGTCTGTTGGTTTCCCTTCTAACCAAGAGAACTCGAGTATACCTTGACACAGAACCGACACTTCACCAAGACACGCACCGCACCGGGCGGCACGGGCTGAGCTCGATCGCACCATGCGATCCATGAGGCCAGTTGAAACTGCCCTGTGCTTCCAAACCTAAGATTTTGTGTCGGGCGAAAACGCAAACCCAGGGGCATTCTCACGCACCCATACCCTGGATTTTGTGTACAAACCCCGCTAACCCATGCCAAGCTCCTATTCACCAAACCCCGGCTTTTTCTGCGAGTTTGAACACCCCAGTGTGTTATCTGTAAAACCCGTTGTTTTTTGTTTGCCCCCCGTATCGCTTGGCTTTAGAAACACAGGGTGAGCGCAGGTACAAGTACCTTCGGTTGGAACCCGTTTCAGCCACGGCGTCCGAGACGCCAGATGAAATTGCGCGTCAAAAAAGCGAAGTCGCTGGAGGAGCGCTTGGAAACCCAGCACGCCCAGCACCTTTTTTTTGAGGGAGCCAGGTCCACCCCCTAAAACAGGGGGCCTTTTTCCCCATTATTGCCACTGGGCTTCTGAAGAAACACGCGCGGGTCTTTCGGGTCCTTTGGTTTTGTTTTGTGTTTGTTCATTTTTCAGCGGCACGTACGAGAGGACAATTAATGCACATACCATTCAGAGAAGAAGCCATTGTTTTGAATGTTTGCTCCTAGTATAGACGCCGGTAGAAGGCCTCCGGACCTTAGGTTTAGGATCAACCAACAGAGTTGCAGGGGGGACACCAAGTCTGAATCCGAGCTTATGGCGATAGCGGGAGAACAGCCTAAGTTCCACTACTTGTAACTTGAGCAGCTTTGTTTGATTTGTGTTTTGGTCCACCAACAGACATGAAGACAAAGAGCTCGATCAGGGAACCACGGATGCTGGTAGCTAGCCTGCCGTGGCTCAACTGGGGGTAATAACCCATTTTGCATTTCACTCATGTTGAGAAGATGAGAGTTTGCGATTTGCTTGGCGGCGTACAAATTCCGTTCGGACCCTCAGGGACGCGAAAGTCACCAGAGCTACTTTTAGCTTTGGAACGCCCAGTTGTTCAAAAGGTATCCTTGATCCTTATGCAAGATGGTAGTCGTTTCCCTTGCGGTGTCTCACTACGGAGGATTAGGGATCTCCCAGAGAAAGATGCATTCAATTCAGTTGGACTTCCAGGTTAGATAGTTTTGAAGAAAGCAAAACAAAAACAGCACTGAAAGGAGGGGTGCACCCCCGCTCCCCTCCTCCGGCATCTGAAGAATATATCAGGTTCTTTGCCGATCTTGCTTGTACCTGGGAACCTGTCAGGAACGTGAGAACGTGAATCGCTCGATGGGCTTGTTTACATATTGGGAACCCCCCAAGAATTGTTGGATATCCTTTCAGTGTCCCTTGAAAACCATCCAAAAACGATACCCTCCAAGAAGTTACACTCAAGAGGGGCAAATGATATCGACACCTATTCGATAATGCGAGGTTATTGAGACACAAGGCTTCAATGGTTTCTCTGCTGTAGCTATAGTTCTGCTTAATTCGCGAGTTCTGGAGAATTCGCTGATCATTCAGTAGTTCAGTGTTTGAACTGAGTATTTATAGCGGATTCATTGGCAAGTTGATCTTCATTGTCTATGTCCGAACAAACACAATGTGGATGTATGTTGAAATGGCAAGACTTCCACAATGGTTGCTTCCTTCTGGTTTCCCCTTTTTACCCAAGGTGAAACGGGCAGTGGACCCTCAGCAATCTGTGTCACTCAATTTTGCTGACCTGTGTCACTCCCCGATGCGCTTCGAAGCCTCGCTATGGCGTTTTCACGATCCTTGCAGCTGTGCCGCCTTCTGCGCTCAGGATTCGATCCAGCTTTTTGGTGCCGGCTGTCGCTTGAAATTTGGAGGGCCGACTCCCTTTGAAGTGATAGTACAGTCATGAAAATCCCACTTGAACGCTTTATTTCCCCACAACCGTGTTGGATGTTTGGGGGACTGTACTAAAATATAGCCCACCAATGAATTGCCAAAAGGTGCGTTCTTTTGTTTGCGAACCCCTATTCGACACATGGGCCCTGGCTTGGAAGGGCTTTGGCCGATTTGCTCAAAAGGCAGGCCTTTCTTGCTACCCGAAAGATGGGCAAGCTGAACCAGTGAGCAGCGTTCCAAAACCACGTGAAAGAATCTAAAGGTGATGTCCTGCAAGTGCGAGAAGAAACCATGCCGCGAAAGCTCTGCGAAAGGGATCATGCGAGAAAGCATGCTCGCAAAAGGGGCCACCAAAGGTGTCATCATGATGGGGGCTAAATCCACGAAACTCCTTGCTATCCCACTTTCCCCCGAAAACAAGCAGCAAAGTCAAAACGACAAACCAACAGCAACAACTGCTGGTTGGTTCTTGAACTTATCTGGGTATGGGTCAAAATTAAAGCGCAAGGGGACCGCAGGTTTTAGTCCTTGGTTCCTTTCACTAGAGTTCCAAAATGGATACCCATTTTTGACCCACAGCCATCTCTGGACACATCTCGCCACTCGACATAGGAGCTGAGCGGCCAGAAGCTCAGAGCCATGAGAGCCGAGGTCGCACGGGAAGGGCCGGTGGTTTACATGTTCCGAAAAGGGAAGCAAAGCCAAGCCAAAAGGGACGTATTAGAGAAAACAACAAGAGGAAACCAAAAGGGGAGATAGTCATGCCATGATTGTCATGAGTATTTTTTCATTCAGACCCCCCCCCCTTTTGGCACCCATGGATGACCATTCGAGTTGCCCTGGCCCAGTTGCACTTCCCGTGGCCCGGAGGCACCTGTCTCTGGTTTTCTTTTGGGGTCCCGCTATGTTGATACCTGCCCTCTTCTTGTCCCGACACCCGTTCAAAGGAGCGAAGTGACAGCTGAAGCGGGTCTCGCTTAGCTTTGCCACTCACCCCCTTGTTGGCAAAGCAATGTTCTAGGTTTCAGCAGGCCTTGGTAAGGACGTTCCTTTTGTTGGGATGTGTTGGGATGGCGTCGCACCGCATATTCCGAAACGTCTCAGAGTATGTTTCGATCGGCTTGAGGCAGTTCAAACCGGTAGCTTATGACACCTCAAGGTGTTCAAACCCAATCCAACTCCGTTGATGTTCAACCAACAATGAGGTCAAAGGCAAAGTCGAAATCTGCTCAACAGCTAAGAGGCGCAGTCTGGCCATGTTCCCTACCTTCGACCATGGATTTGTTCAACAGTTTGTTTTAAACACGAAAGGCTACAGTTCCTTTGAGAATGCCCATGATTGTAAAGCGGGTGACTTCCATGATCTTCTGGTATAGGGTTTTGAAGCTTTGGGTTCCCTCATTTTGACCGAAGGTCTACAAAGGTAAGCCTCAGGATCCGAGTACCCTTTTTGGATGGTTTTTTGGGGCGAGCCAGAACCCTCTCTGAGGCCTGTCAGGTTTGCGAGGACGGATCAGGGATGGGCCATTTTGTTGGTTGCACGATCCGAGAACAGCAGAAAACGCAAACTACAGTTCACAGATTGCTACCTACATACTTACCCAACAGCTGGGTCAATTAGAGTGACATACACGCAAGTTCATCCTCGGTGTCAGGGGGAACCACTGCCAAAAGAAATATAGAGTCTCTGAACATGCTCACTCTATAGAGAAAGCACACACACCCACGCCCACACACAACACCACACACACGCACACCACACACACACACACACTCCCTCACACACGCACGCACGCACCCACGCACGCACGCACGCACGCACCCACGCACCCACACACCCACACACCCACACACCCACATACCCACACACCCACACACCCACACACCCACACACCCACACACCCACACACCCACACACACCCACACACGCACACACCCACACACCCACACACCCACACACCCACACACCCACACACCCACACACCCACACACCCACACACCCACACCCACACACCCACACACCCACACACCCACACACAGACGCAACATGTTGGGTGTTCGAGTGTTCGAATCCACCCCATTTTCGGACACAGCCATAGACTTTCCCAAGGACTATTGCCATCCACCCCACGAGGAAATTTGCCTGGGGTTGTACGTCAGGCTACACACCAGCTGCATTGACGTGACGTACATGAGCCCCAGTCCTTGAAGCAACCGGTTGAGAGGGTTTCCACCTTAATTCAAAAGAGAAAGTTCCGTTTCAGGGGAAGCCTATACCCCAAAGGGACTCATCCTGACTGGCATGCAGAATCCCCATGGCAAGGAACTCAACATGGTGCCCAAAGTTTCGGACAGTTTCCTAGCTGAGACTTGTTTTTGGATTGGTTAGAGTCGTTGGAGGTCCAAGTACCGTAGCAAGGGACCCTTTGACCGCTTTCTGGATGGGAGAAAGGTTGTTTCAGTAATTGCCGTTTAGACAGTTGCGTGTGTGTGTGTGTGTGTGTGTGTGTGTGTGTGTGTGTGTGTGTGTGTGTGGGTGTGGGTGTGGGTGTGGGTGTGGGTGTGGGTGTGCGTGTGCGTGTGCGTATGCGTGTGCGTGTGCGTGTGCGTGTCTGTATCTGTGTCTGTGTCTGTGTCTGTGTCTGTGTTTGTTTGCATGTTTACACAATGGGTAGGCCCAACCGTGGTGTATGGGGTTTCTTTCCCTTGGACCGCCACGCAGGGATCCCATAACGGGGCAAAGCGTAGGCCCGGCCCTGGTCGGTTTCCTCAGCTTGGTCTTCGCGCTGTCAGGACGTCCACGCGACCTGGTCAGCTCTTTCCGGAGATGCGTTGTGCGTTGCTTCCATGCGACAGAGCCGTCTCGAGCGCTTCAGAGGGTTGGGTGTCTCCAAATTGGGAACCGCAACAATGACGGGTTTCTTTGGAATTCCCTTTTAAACCACCCAAGGGGGTGCACTCAACAAGACACACTCAATTTATGGAGCTCCTGTCCGTTTCAGCTTTCAAAGAACACACTCTCAGTTTTGCAGTGGATTCCACACCTCTAAATTCCTTTTTGTTTGGTGGGTCCGGGACTTGATGGCTGAAAATAGTCAACGCTGAATCAACATGGTCCTTGTTTTTGCCAGGGCCATTTTATGGCTGGGTTCGGGTACTTCGCCAGGTAAGTACAAGAGCGGCGCTCTTGTTTGCCTTGTTTGGCTCAGGGAGAAGGATCTCTATGGGTTTGGGACCTAAAAATAAGCCCTGCGGTCCCAAGATGCGGGGGGTGCCCTGGAAGGTTGGTAAGGCTACATGAACATCCCTTTGTGAATGAGCCCGGGAAGCCAGAAAAAACACATGAAACAACTCTTCAGCTCACTTTGCCCTAGGACATGGGAAACGGGGCTATCTTCTGAGGGGTAAATGGTCGGGCTAAAGCTGTCCTTCTGCAGAGGCACGTCTTGTTTCAATATCTTGAATTGTCGCTTTGGAAGGTTGGGTTGGATGATGTTTGGAAGGCATAAGTTTGGGTTAGTGCTGCGTTTTCTACGTGGCGTACTGAGTAGTGCTTCTGGGGCATGCACGGCAGGGATTGCGTGGCCTATGTCCATCTATCTGAACAGTGGCAGAAGTCGTCGCTAAAACACCCACCATAGCATGACACAAGCAACAACACTTGCAGGTAATTATTGTTAGGTGGGTTCAATACGACTCCCTAGCTTCAAATGATATCGTGCTGTAGAGACCTTTTGGGGAGGTTTGGAATAGGTGTTCCTCCCGACCGACCCCCCTTTCTGTGACCCTGGCCGTTTTCGAGACACAGTTTCTGATTTGTGTTTTACACCAAAAGATGACCGTTCCGGCATTAACCCTGAGATCTGAATGGGTAGGCTCTGTAGAGTTGAATTCAGTCAACATACAGTACTAAAATTCTTCAGAAGTGCTTTGGCCACTTACAAGGTTTGTGCTTGAACCCTCACACTACCCTGTAATTTGGGGGCTACCAAGCCGTTTTTATGGGTTGTTTGAGGGTCCAAGTTGAAATCCTCAAGGTGCCCCAAGTCACAGGCATTGCGCTCGGCTAACGCGCGACGAGAAGGGTGTGGACTCCTGTTCCACAGTGGGGAGCACAAAAAGTTTGGGGGTGTCAGCACCACGCTCATACTGGCACCGGCCGTTGTGGGGCCAAGCACAGACCACCTTTTGGGTGAACCAGCCTCATGATACATCCTCTTGCTTAGGGACAAGAAGTGCCTTTAGCAATTGAGTCAGGAACATTATTTTGCAATGACGTGAACCCCGCCCCCGTTTTCTTGAAACTCGGCAGGAGCTGGGCGAGTCGGAGCAGAGTTCCCCGAGGCGAAGTATTGAGCCGGAGATGCCAAGACGGTGCCTTGGTGCCTTCTAAGGAGGTAGCTGTGGGTCAAAAATAGGTACGCAATATGGAACCCTGGTAAATGGAATGCCAGTCCTAGTGAAAACTTGGGTGAGTTGCTTGAAAGTAGGGATTCCTTTCTCCAAGTGAGGGGCTTATGAAGCGCCATTTTGAGGACACACTTGTAGATGTCACTTTAGTTCGGTCATAACATGGGTGGCCGAAGTGTCCAAGTTCCCGGGGCTGCCGTTGAGGGATTCGTGAGAAGTACCTTCCAAGATACCAAGGCACCCGCCGGAAAAGAAATGATTAAACAACTGGGCCTGAGCGCTTTTGGAAGGGAAACCAAAAGGAGGCTATTTGAGGAACAGCTGTTCATACAAGTTTAACCTGGGAGTTAGCCCAACCTTTCTGGAGATACGGCCTTTGAATCGGTGTTTCTCGTATATAGCGACCACACACGGTGAAAGGAAAAGGATCCTGTGTGGGATAGCCAGAGACATATGCTAGTAGCTTTGCTGAACCAGGAAAGGCATATTCAGCGCAGTTTACCGGGTGCTGTTGTTGGTCGAGTCAGTTCATGAGCAGCGTACAAAACAGGAAGGGAACCCTGCGGTTGGGAGTTCAACCATTTTTTTTAGGTTGGGATTGCTCGGAACATGGTGATCCCGATCAATCAAAAGTTGGAGTTGAAAGGAAACCAGTGACCGGTGGTTTCCTAAGGAACTGTTTTGAAAGGAAACCAAAAAGGAGGCTGGCCCTCTATCGCAGGCCCTGCAAATGGAGATCTCGTGGTGGTTTTCCGCATTCAAGCACGCCTCTGTGCGAAGATGGAAATGACATGCCCCAGCCGGCCTTTGGTGTTTCGTTTTTGCTTTGGGTCCTTGAATTAGGGGCAAACTCATATTGGGTTGTGTTTGAATTTGGAGGGTACCCGTTTTTGGTGGTGTAAGCAAGCGGAACCAGGCCATTTTGAGCCAACTCCTTTCCGAGGCCGGCCTGGGATGATGACACTGAATGGGAGGCTTCTTTGGAGGCGCGATCCCCAGCTCTCGCCATGGGCGAAATGGACGGACTTCGCCTCGGGAATTATCCCCAAACAATCCGTAGGTAGGTAGTGCCCACTTTTCACCAAGTTAGAGTCTGAGTGAATGTTGCAGGCATTGAGTGTTTGGGATCCGAAATGGCCATGGACCCGGAAGAGGGGTCTGATTGGTGCAAGTTGCAAACAACAAACAAGACCAGGACAAGGATATGGTTTACAGAATTCAAGGGAATGTATTGCCGGCAAACTAACCAAACAAGGGGGTCCGGGAAGAGGAGTTGTTTCGATAAGATTATGCTTGTTGGGGGTTCCATGTGAATCTGCAGAATATTTTAGACTAATACTGAGTTCCTGCACCATGACCCATGACCCGCAGCATGGTTTGATGGCGCATGTAACGCAAAACCATACCGATCGACCAGCGCAGGTCCGCCGCCGGATTTAAAGGAAGCACTTGGTTCGGTGAAGATTACAAGTGGTCCATGGTTTATTGGGGAGGGACATGGAGGACGCTCCAAATTTCCCTACAAAAGGGCACTAGTTGTCACATGTCCTTTCACGGGAAGACAAGTACTTTTGAACCACGGCTCAAGTGACATCTGAGACATCTGTGTCTTTTCTGGACAGAGGACGCCCAGAGGAATCCAGTGCTCAAGGCTCCCACTCATGTGGACAAATTGGCCGGGCGCCATGTTGTCTCAGCCAATTGGCGCGAAAGTAGCTTCATGGCAGAGGGATATTCTGGAGAGCTCGCGAACATCCGCGAGGGCCTGGCAATTTGGGACGGTTTGCAACCCCAATCAAGCGGCATAAAAGGAACATGAACGTGGTTCAGTAGATGGCACAATTAGAACTCATGGTCAATCGTCATTCCCTGTACTTTCCCAAGGAACCTCGGTGTACTGGGCAGCTGTGATTCACACGAGGCCAAACCCTCTGTCAAGCCCAAGCCTAAGCTGCCGCTGGAGGATGTGGGTGCGGGCGCCCGGGTGGCAAACTGGTCGAGCCAAAGCGAGAGATGTCATGGGCCAAATTTCTTGGTGCCTGGCATGGCACCTTCAAGGGGTGGCAATATCGAAGAGGCAGACTACCGCCCGTACCGTCCGTACCGTCCATACCTGTAGCCTCGCTTGGCCCCGCGGATCAAGCAGAGTTCTGTTCAGAAGTTGCTTTCCCCGCCACAAGTGGTTACCGGGCATCCAATGTCCACCACCCGGGACACCTACTGATGGCTTTTGAGGGGGGGAGGGGTGGAAAGGGGCCCTTTGGTACACAAAAGGGAAGGACAGACCCGAGGGCCTTTGACCTCCCGACCACAAAGGTCAGTGGTCTAGGGGGCGTTCTTTTTCTAAACCCATGAAACCTTTTGGTTTCCCGCAATCATACCCTCACACTTTACACGCCCAAATGGGTTGTATGTGCATTTGATATGAACCGGTTACTACATGGGGCGGGCTTCCGAAGCCCACATTTTTTCAATTGCGGAAGCAAGGCCAAGTTCTCCCACGCCTTTTAGGGACAGGGGTGTCCGACCTCTTTTGTGGAATCAGTTTGGGTGACCCTAAATTGGGTTCCAACAAAAGGTTCCAAGATGCTACACACGTGATTGCCATTTGCCAGAAGCACTTGGAACCCGTCAATAGCGTCTATAGATTCGAGCCCGTTAATTACACGCTTGTTTTGTTTTTACTTTTTTTTTCTTCTGAATAGTCCCATCTCAGCTTCCCACTAATTGGTGGTTTGGATCTTGTAGAGGGTAAGTGGGGAACCCCTCCTCAACCACCAAGCCACCGGGCTCCAAACCGCCAACTCGTGGGAAGCTGATATGTTTCGGAGAGCCACCCAAGTAATTACAAGCCACCATGTCTTTACACAAAAACAATATGAATATGATAAATCAGGTGTTGTTTTTTCAGGGTCCATCTTTTTACAACGAAAAATATGAGTATATAGATCAGGTGGTTTTTCTAGGCGTCAGTTTGAGAGCCGCAGGCGACTTCATCCTCTCCCTGGCGGTGCGCCGGAAGATGACGGGCTACGCGCTGCTGCGCTTCGGCGACTTCCTGCCGCTGCAGCCGGGGACCAAATCCCCTGAGACGTGTGGTGCGTTATTTTTCCAGACGCCGGCGCCGCCCGTTTGGAAGGGGGAAACCGGAATGCCAAAAGGGGAACCTCGGTTTGACAATTTGCCTGGGGGCCTTACAGGGCTGTCATTTTGGGAGAAACCCGGTCGGCGGGGTTCGTCCTCGCTATATAATTGAAAGCCGGGAGTGGTCGAGATGTCAACTGGGACACCTCATACAAGTCAAACTCTGCTCCAGCATTTCAGAATAAACAGTCCAGCTGTCTCCTGAAGCCTGCGTCTCAAAATAAAACATGCTCCCCTGACAGCCCAACCAAATGCGCAGGGTTCAACTTGACACACGATTCGCGTTTTTCGCGGGGCAGTCATCGGCCATTTTCCCGTGTGAATCTTTCTCGGGGCAGCCGATCGATCCGTGTCGCCAGGTTCGGGCTGGTGGACGTGTCGAAGCACGGCCAGGACGAGGCCCAGAAGAAGGCCCTGGAGGTGGCGGCGGTGCTGCGGGACCTCAAGCAGGCGCTATGCGGGGGGGGCCCGGAGAGGTCGTGGTGTTTGATCGCGGCTCGGCTCGGTGGAGATTCGTGTCAGGGTTGGAATTATGGGGTTTAAGCAGGGGTTTTCCCTTCCGATTGTAACCCATGTCATGAGGTATGCTTATAAGGGATAGTGGGAGAACTGGGCTTAGTTCCCTGAAAAGCATAATTATGGGCTAGAATCTAATACTTACCAAGTGGATTGAACATGTAGGGGGGGAGATGGGGGTCTCCCCAAATATGCGATATGTTGGGGTAGGCTAAAAATGGACCAGGATTTGGACATATGATGTTTGAGGGAATGTTAGACTTGCAAGGGACCACAGCAACCTGATAGCTATGAGTGACTAATACTGACTGGGGGCTAAGAAATTGATGGGACAGCTTCCTGTGGGAAGACCTCATTTTGCCTCCAACCTCAAGGGCGCGTCTTTGGGGGGGCTGTTCCTAGATTACACAATCGGTTTCCTTGTTCCCCAAAGTTCTTTCTTGGGAGGCATTGTTACATTGTACTATTGTACTTCTCCTTCCAGCAAAGCCCGGCTGGGAACTTGTATGTGTCGACATTGTATTTCAGCAACAAAGCATCAGTAAGGGCAAAGTGGTACCAATGTGTTTCAGTTGTCTCCCTCTACCCATGGATCAGCCCGGATGCCGCACACTTTAAACGAGTCAACCAGGTGGCTCCGAAGAAGCTGCTGCAGCTGGCGGAGAACCCGGAGGCCGCACCTAAGCGAAGACATGGGGATGAAATGGGTTTCTCTTTTTGAGGGTACCCAGTTCTTTCTTCCTTTTGTTTTTTAAGGGAACACCTGCATGGGAGTTCACCAACCATGTTTGTTTAATTGCAGGCCCCTTGGGGGGTTGTTTTTAAGGCGGAACCAAGCGAAATCACCAGTTCGGAGTGTGAGTTGTAATTGGGGACTCTGTAATGGACATCATTTCGGTGGGGATTTGAGTCCACAAAGCGCTTTTCAGGGGTTTGCAGGTTGCAAGCATTTTGCCAGTGCCATCCATTTGTTGGATCAAAAAGGCCACACTAGGGTATAGCACATACTACTCACTTCCGAGATAGCAAGGCTTTGTCCAATCCACTTAGGAAGTGAGCATAAGGTTCTGTTCAAGCAGAAACCAGCTGAAGGACTTCGGTTCTGAGTTATCTACACAAATAGCAATTCCACTTCTAAAGTGGGAAACCAAGTGACATTTGCATAGTGAGCAACACACGTCCGGGCTTTGCGCAGTGGATTCCAGCCTTGCTTTTTGCGTCTGGGAGCTAAAAGCATGATTGTTATTCTCCCAAAGCTAAACCAGAAGGAGATGGATTATCTGGGTGTTAAATGCATTAAGTTCATTTGTTAGTTAAAACAAAATATTATGTGTTTCTTGCACCAAACGGGTATGATAGCTGTTGTTGTTTCTCTAAGCCCCTATTTGACAGCCACCCCGGCCACCCCTGCTGTGCAGGGATTCCGTGCCCTTTACATCCTTGTTTGTTGGGTGAGTTCCTCACTAAACATGCAACCAACCCAAATTGGGTTCCGGGCTTTTAGCATTCGGGTCACGGGGCAGGGAAACCTCAGTTGCTGGGTGAAGTCTCACCTGATCCCTGCTATTCATTAACTTGAGTGTAAAGTCCGAACCGAGCTACAGGACACGTACTTCAAGGGCAATGTTGTGCAGCACCAGTTGGGAGTAGCACCCGGTGCTTTGGGGAAAACCTCAAGACATGGTGGACAATCTGGGGACCAGAGGCAACCTGGTGCACTCCAAGGCGTGTGCTCGCTTGGCAAGCCTGCTCAAACATAGGCAAGCATGCATAGCTTGCGGGTTTGTCTTGGTTTTGGCATGGTCTGCCTTGGTTTTGGCCTTGTCTGCGATCTTGTTGGCTTTGCTTTTATTGTTTGCCTTTTAAGGTTCACCAAATATGGTCCATAATCAAACGCCTGTTCTTTCATGTTTTTGGGGGGTGAGGGGTACGTGCTGATATTGGCAGTTGCTGAAACCAATCTCGGGCCCTTTTTGGTTTACCCGCCGCTTTGTTTGGAGCACTCTGCTCAAAATTTGTTAGGCACGGAGCCTGAAAGTCAGGAACCCGCAGCCCATGCCCCAACCAACAAACAGGCCATGAGGTGCGAATATTTAAGGTAGCACCCAGGTGAGAGTGTACTTCACGTGGATGTCATTAATTTTGTGGATCTGTAGTATCTCAAACTTTGGACCCCGGCTTCCTTTTGATTCCACGTCAAAATCAGCCAACACTCCCCCCCCCCAAAAAAAAATAGCAAACAAACAAAAACAACAGAAAAAACGGAGAGAAACAAACTGACACCCCTCACTTGCAGATAGCGTCCAAAGGGAACCGCTTGGGGGGGTGATATGCTAAGACAACGTCGACATGATGACAAGCCTTCGAAACCAGCGCCTGATCTTGGAGTAATGTCATCTATCAGGCACCAAAGGTTCCAGGTATACTTGACATGCTTGATTCTTACCCACGAAAGCCCACCGCGAAGGGTAGAACACAAATGGGAATACTTACCAGCATGCAGATGCTGTGATTGTGGCTTGATTTGGTTGTCGAGTACCCAACAACATCATTCCAATGATGAAGCCCACTGTAGCCTTCCCCTTTTGACAACCCACAAAACAACCTCGAAGGGTACAGGGGCCATTTGGGGCAGGCCATGGATGCGCTGGGGGAGGAGATGAAGAGCAGGCCATGCGATGGGCGCATCGCAGTGTGGGCGGGCAGAAGACACCGAGTGGGTCCCGCCATATTCATGGGAAAAAATGACTTTCATGGGCAATAATTGTTTTGTGTTTTATTCCAATGGGTAGTTTGAGGGACCGAAAAGAAGTTTTCTCTAAACAGGATTGCTTCGAGGGCCACGTTCCAAGCTTGTGGGTTCCATGTTCGTCAGTGCTGACCCGCCTTGGGAACTCGGCGGCGGCTTCAGTGATGCGCAGTCAAACATAGGTTGCGCCGGTGAAAGTCCAAGAGTTGATTTCGGGGTAGCGGGCAACGTGCATGCTGGATAAGCCAACAGCAGGGTATTGAGACAGTCGATTTAGTATTTTTTAGTGCTTGGAAAGCATCAGGAACTGAGCTATTGAGAACCTGTAAGGCGAGTGAGAGACACACGGTTATAGGCGGTCTGCGGGTCTGCAGCGCGTTGTTCGCAAGCTCACATTCAGATACTTCGTCAGAGCCAGAGCCCATTCTAGGGTCACCGAATCATGGTCATGCATGCTGAGGAATGTGTTTTGTTCAATTTGCAAGGCGAGCACAAAGCCTGAGGGCATGACATGTTTCATTGTCATTCGTTGGATGTTCACCCTGATTCCCAAAATAATATGCTCAAGCCAAGCATACATACTGCGAATCCATACTCACATATCCATGTCTACACGCGTCTTCAAAGAACAAGCACAAGCACTCATAATTCCTGTGGCTTCCTGGCGGGTGCCCTTTGCCTGCTGCTTTGTTAAAAACAATGTTTTCCATCGAGATGGCACCTTTTTTTGCGAAACGACACTTTTGCAAGTTGAGCATGGCAGGCGGTCGCTGGCCAAATCGAAACGGCAATTTCACCCGTCCAAATGGCAACTTTTCCCGTCCAACCGGCAACTTTTCCCGACCGTGGCACAGGCATTTTGCGAATCGGCGGTTTTCAATCAAACGGGGCTTTCTTCGCGAAACCGGAGAAAAATACACCTTTCGCCAAACGGCAAAAACATGCACCCTCCGGAAGTCGCAGGTATGCATGATCAGTCCATATATACATCACTGGCTCAGTTGTTTGCCCCGCAAAATACTCCGCCCCAATGAGCGGCTGGACCAGATTCCCCAGGGCGGGCAGAGGGACTGGCGGCAATGGCAGGCAGTGGAAATGGGTGATCGCCTTTGACGACTCCACCATGGATCGAGGTCCGCCTGTGAATGTCGGCTGCTCAAAGTCCGTCCGTTTTAGCGAAGCGTTAGCTGGGCGGTGCAGTGCTGGTTGGCGCTTCTAGGATTCTAGGAGGATTCGACAATTACCCGCCCCCTGTGCTTGAAGCTACCTGGCCAAAGCCCAGTGGAGAATCATGTGGTTGTTTTCGCGCAGGAACCAACCCCTCCCTTTCGGAGTCCTTTGAGGACCCCCGTCCCCTTTTTGGGTACTGGTGGGATTCGGGTTTTGGGCTGAAGCGCTGTGTACCGAAGTTCCCTTGAAAGTGACCTCGAGGTCAGAAAAAGATATGTGACATTTTTTCGGCTCGACCCAGATGAACAGGAATCTGATTGCATGTTCTTGGTGTTCCCCAGGCCCAAAGGCGGTTTCGTAGTCCTGCGGCCTGCGGCCTCCGGGCCTTAGGTCAGGGAGAATCGCGCCCAGCGCACCGTGTCTATGCTGCAGGGCCTGCTGATCTCGGCCAGGGGCCCGGAGTGCTCGAAAAGCCGATCTGGGTTGCTTCCATTTGCGGCAATGCATACGTTTATCTTCCCCTGGTTTGAAAGGGAATGTATCACTACTGCAATCATGGCCATTCCTTCCAGGGCGACTTGCTAAATTCAAAGATGTCACTTCCGCGTCAAATTGCCAGAGTCCAATGATTCTTATTGGGGCTTAGGGCAAACGCCCTAAACCCACTTTGGCTTGTGTTCCCGTGGCAACCCAAAAGGAACAACACACACGCACAGTGCTTCTTGGACCTTGCCATTTTTGGAAACCTTTGCCGGCATCCGATTTTGTCATAGCGGAGAGATCTATCAAAACCCAGAGGCAGAGGACTCAGGTCTTTGAAAGCTAGTCACCAACCCAGGCACCCAGTTGTGTTCTTGTTTTGAGGGCTGTTCCTTCAAATAGGTTTGAAAACAAGTTTATTCTATCTCATTCTATTCTTTTTGGAGGGGCAAACCCCTTTGAAGCCAACTGCCAAAACAGAGCGCCTGTTGGTTGGGGGTCCTGAGAAACACCAAGTTCACCACTGGACGAACGAACGGAGCAGCAGACTGGCCACTTCAGCGTTTTGTTTGTTCCCTTCTTTGTTTTTTTACTTTTCGGCGAATCCACTCAGGAAATGAGAACGTTGGAATGTGGGTGTGTCTTTTCGAGGGGACTCCCAAATGGTGTTTTCTTTGGGTGTCCTTCAACACCACGAAAGGTAACCATGAAAGGTACCAACTCTTTTTCGTTCAACACAAGCATGTTCCGTTTGGTTCAACTCCAAAAAGAACAACTATGCATATGTGAAGCCACAGCTATAAGAAACATGGTGCTTTTCCCCTAGTCCCTCTATTTTTTGCATTTCAACCACAAGAAAGGAGGACCAAGGTGTTTGTGAAACAAGCCAGGACTGCAAGAAGATCTTCAAGTCCGCGCCGCAACTGGTGAACCCCAGGAGGCGGCTCGATGGGTGAGAACCCGCTTCGGTGTTTGGTGTTTGTGGGGGAGAAATGGGGATTACCTACTGTGGGCAAAATCCTGCACCACCTAATCCCTGGAATGTGTAAATACCAATGAACAATGGTATCCATAGTATTTTTGGAAAACACCCTAGAATTGGAAGTGAACCACGTTGTCAAAACGGAGGGGTTGGCAAAAGGCTGCCCTGGCCGGGCGTGGTTTATGCTGCGGTTTGCAGGTTGCCCCTCTGTGCGTTTTTTCTTTATGTAACGGGCCCGAGTTTCAAGTCGGGTCCGGTTGTGCCCGTCAACATTTGGTTTGCCCAATGGTCCTGTCAACATTTGGGAAGGCATCGTTTCATGCGTCAGGCACTGCTGCAAGGTCTTCAAATGATACACTTGCTCTTAGCAATCTGAACATGATGGAGATGGCTCGATCTTGCCAGAGATGGCAAAAGCATTATGATTCCTGGAGATTCGGTTTGCCAGGTGCCTTTCGATCTCTTAAGACCCTTGTGTCGAGAAGCCGAAGCAACAAAGCCAAGGGAGTCTCAAACGAGGGGGCAAGGTATCCAAACCGGATTGAATGATCAGGCGCCAAGAAACCCACTTTGCTGGAGGCACTTGATTTTCCAAAAAGAAAGCCAACCACATGGCGGGCTCCCTAACTTTGAGGAATGTTTGTTGGCCCTTTGACGACTTTGGAGACTTTTTACGTAAATCCTTGTTCAAGGATTTGGTTCCCTTTGTGGTTTTTCAGTAGAGAATATACGGAACATGGGATCCAAGACGTCCGTTTCGAAGTCAGATCTTGCAGGTCACAGGACAATTTACGGAAATTTACGGGTGAACCAGAAGGAGTCCACCCGGTCACCCGCGGAGGTTAGAGGTCATAGTTGGTTCCACTATCAGTTTTGTTAAAAAGCACCTAGTTTTTTTCTTAGGGTTCCACTGGTTTCACTTTTCGATCTCTTCACCCGGTTGCAACATGGCCCAAGCCATGACCTCAGTCAAGTTCAATTGGGGGCTAAAGAATGGCACCCTCAAACCACTAGACTATATTGGGAATGCACCCTATATATCCCTATATTTTGGGCCAATATCCTCTTCATTGGTAGTTTGAGGGAGGCACGCATGATTCTCCGCGGCAATTTGGTTTTGTACGCCAGCCAGCCAGTCTTCAAATCGGGGGTTATCCATCTCAGATGTTGCCGGAGGTGTCCCATTTAGAGTAGGGGTGTTCAAATTCGGACACCCAAAAAAACTTCCCATCCACCGGGGTGTTCAAATTCGGAAGACACCCATAAATTGAAAGTGAACCAACCGGGGCTGTTTCTGCTGCGATGTATCGCATTTGTCTCTCGATTGGTCGTCCAACGTACCCCACAAGCTCCTTTCCTTTTTCAGGAGCCGGCAACTCCTCGGAGTGCGGGGCGGGCCCAGCCCTCAAGTGAGGCGCGGGTGCCCAAGACTGCGCTCTGCTTAGGCAGCGACCGCTTCAGCTTGACACACCCCGCACATTTTTGCGGGAAGGGAACCGGGTTTCAGAATGGGATTTTCCAAACGCGGCAAATTCCATGTTCGTGCATTCCAGACACATTGTACACTGTCAGTGTCCCAGGAAGGCTCGTGCATGATCTCTTACTGACTCTGCGCTAGAAAGTTCGCAGTAAAATTTGTAAAGCGACCGACGGCAGAAGGTGCGCCATTCAAAAAGTCACACACTCCATATACACGGGGGAAGATGAGAAATGCCCTGCTTCAGATTTGCGAACTGTAAGGGGAGGAAACAAGGTCTTAATTGGCGCAAGTGGGGAGCATGGATTGACATGCCTGCGCTCGACAAGACTTTTGGAGGCTTTGCGGCGCTTTCTTGGGAACTGCTACGTAGTGCTGCTACCTGTTATGTAGTTCAAGTTTCTTAAGCACCCATTCGGGTGCTGTTTTGCTTTACCAGGAACTTCGTAGAATCGGCATTGATTGCTTGACTCGCTTCAGTATGTTCCGCGATTGCTTTGGGCCTGAATTTGATGCGCGTCCCGGTGTTGCCCACAGTGCCTGCTTCACCCGCGACCTGTTCATATTACTTTCCAAGTGGGAAGACCTGCTGCTGCCGGGTTCCAGCGGCGTTTTCTGACGGAGGTCGAGCTCAAGATCCATCCTCCATTCTGGCTGAGGAAGGTGTGCGAGATGGGGGACTGGATTGATGCGATCGTTCGGCAAGTTCAGCTAGCTTCCACACAGGGAGACGTTGCAGGAGGAGCTGCGCTTACTTGGGGCCGTGCAGGTTGGGGAGGTGACATCAGCCGGGTGCAAGAGCAGTTGGTGCGTGTTCTCAAGTTAGTTGGTGCGTGTCCACAAGATCCAGGCAGCAGGACATGGTGCTTTTGACAACGGCTCCGTGGTGACTTGGGGCGTTCTTGACTTTGGCGGTGACAGCAGCCATGTCCAAGAGTTGCTGGTGCAGGTCCAGCGGATCCAAGCAACTGATGACGCCTTGGCTGCCATCCTAGAAGATGGCTCTGTGGTGACTCGGGTCAGTCCTGACTGCGGCGGTGACAGCAGCCAGGCGCAAGAGCAGTTGGTGCAGGTCCAACAAATCCAAGCAACTGGCTATGCTTGTGGACCTGGGAGGCCAGGTGCCGAGAGCAGGTGGTGCGAATCCACCAGATCCAAGCAATTGGGGCTGCTTTTGCTTTTGTCTTGCAGTGGGGTGCTCCTGACTGTGGCGGCGACAGCAGTCGAATTCAGAGTCAACTAGCACTTAACTTGCTCAGAGCCATTTGCACAGAGTCAGTTGCACAGAGTCACTTACACAGACCAAGTTGCACAGCCATTTGCGTACTCAGTTGGGCAGAGTCATTTGCACAGAGTCAGTTTCACAGCCATTTACATAGAGCGAAATTGCCCAGAGCTGTCTACACAGAGCCATCATAGAGCCATCTCCGCAGAGATACTTGCGCAGAAGCAACTTGCAGACATCTTCACAGAGCAGCTTGCACAGTCTGGGGTGGAATAGTCTGGGTAAAGGTGAGCGTGAAAGGTCGGGTTCTTGGGCTTGGCCCTTGCAGCTAGGAAAGTTAAGTTTCTATAGAGAGGATTCTTAACGCGCGTGAGAGAGTCGGAAAGAATTAGATTATTCTCTTAAGGCGGGGGGGGTTGCTGTCTCGCACGGGATTGCGACCCTCTCCGGGGCGAGGTCGATGTCAAAATAAAAGCTGGCGACTTTGTACCATTTCTGCGGCTCCCGCGCGACCCTCTGCGTGGCCGATGTCAAACAACTGAAGACTCTTTGCGATTCTGCGGCGTGAGGGTCAACCCTCGAGGGGGATCGCACTTTTCAAGTTGGTCTCGTGCGAATTTGGTTACTTTCTGGTCCTTGGAAGTTGTCTCGTGGTTGGCTCCTCGGCTGATGGCTATTGTAATCGCGTGGTCGCGGCTCGAACCCCGGCGGGAAAATCGCATCCTGCAAGTACAAAAGTAACCTGAATCTTCCGATGAGCGTTATTTTCGTTCGTGCCGGTGAACGCGGGTTTATCTGAAAAGCGCTTGGTTAAAGCCAAAAAGAAGGACCTCCATCGTGTGGGCTCAGTCTTGCTGGCGCTCATGTGCACGATTTGCAGCGGGCGCTGAGCATGACAAAACAAGCACTTGTTGATGTGCGCTCGTGTGGCGGGTAATTGCGCTTTTGTAGCGGTAATGTGCGCTCGTTGTACGGCCTTTCCCGTCTCATCCAGGATGCTCAAAACATTGACCACGTTGTGCTCCAAAGGAGCCTCAATTCCTTTGCAAAGGACCAAAACTCGCTTGCGAACGCAAAACACGCGTCAAAATAGCAGCTTGAGCAGGAAAATCTGTCGTTGCAAGATCCAGGACCTTCGCGTATATTCCTGGAACACTCGCGAAGAGCACGCACGCAGCTCCGGCTGGAAGCTCGCAACCTAGGCGTTTAGCACACGCAACGCATTCCCGCTGCAAATCGCAATTTGCGCACAGAAACTTGCACGGAGCACATGTGGAGAGCGACGTGCAGACTTGCGCAGAGCAACGTGCGCTGAGCTATCGCAGAGCAACTTGCGCAGGACAGGATTGCGCAGGTAATTTTGCAGACGCGCAGAGCAATCTGCGCACGGACAAGGCACTTGCCCAGAGCGCGTACAAAGAGCAACTTGCAAGGAATACCTCGCGCACAGAATTTGCGCGGGGCACTTGCAACACGCGCAGAGCACTCGCAGTGCACTCGCAGAGATCGATGCACAGACTTTCTCACAGCAGCTTGCGCATGGCAAAAGTGCACAGACGGTGCCACAACAGCAACTTGCGCAAAGCAGGAACTCCAAAAGAGCGACTTGCGCGGAAGAGTTGTGCAGAGCAATTTGCATATATATAGCAACTTACGGGCAGCATCTTGCAGCGCCACGCTGCGCAGTCTATTTGCAAAGCAGCACTTGCGCAGGGCCAAGTCTGCAAACTTAAGGCATGGCAGCATCATGCTTTCGGGCCAATCGTCCTCTAGTTTCGTGCTCCAGGTAGCGCAGGACCCCGCTTTAGCAACACACCCACATGTTCCCATGGAGCTTGGCAGTTTGAGTTGGAGGTATGGCGCTGTGTTCCAAGAAAGCTTGCGGGACGACACCCCAGGCTGTAGCAAAGTTCAGTTTGCACGTGATGGTTGCGGTTGCTTAGTGGCCCAACTTTGTCGCCGGCTCTTACTTGCCTCTTCAACCAGCCAACTCGACGCAATGCAATTGCATGTGTGCCTGCCAAGTGGAAAGAACTGCTCCGTTGCGCACCCTCCTGAGTCGAGCATTCGTGAAATGAAGGCTGAGGCGCAACAGCAGCTCAAGCGCCGCTTTCTGAGGCTCCTGCTCGGAAGTGAGAAACTGGATCCGTCGCGCACCCTGGCTGAGGTGGGCCTGCGAGATGGGGACTGTGTAACTGCAATCGTGCAACACGTGAAGCTAGCTTCCACTCGGCAAGCATTCGCGATATATGTCGAAGGAGGCTCTGTGGTGACGTGGGGCTCTGGACGCGATGGCGGTGACAGCAGCCACGTGCGCGAGCAGTTGGTGGGCGTCCAGCAGATCCAAACAACTCTGCAGGGAGCTTTTGCTGCCATCCTGGATAGCGGCTCTGCGGTTACCTGGGGCAGGTCTACCTTCGGCGGTAACAGCCTCCATGTGCAGGTACAGTTGGTGCAGGTCCAGCAAATTCAAGCAACTCTGAACGCTTTTGCTGCCATCCTGGCCGACGGCTCTGTGGTGACTTGGGGTGATCCTCACTCGGGCGGTCACAGCAGCCAGGTGCGAGAGCAGTTGGTGCAGGTCCAGCAAATTCAAGCAACTCTGAATGCGTTTGCTGCCCTCCGTGCCGACGGTTCTGTGGTGACTTGGG